TTTGGAGAGAGTATATATATATATTGTTTCAATATTAGTTAATAATTTTATATAAGAAAACTTATTAGTCAATTAATTGCTCATTTAAATTTCTAATTTACTTATTTGTTTTATATAAAAATACTGTACAATCAAAATTTAATTTTATATGAGAAATCAATTGTTCATTTAATTTTTAAATGTTATTTAATATAAACAAATAAAATATAAAAATATGAACATTAACAAATTTAAGCAAACAACGTATAAACAAATATATGAAAGTTCGTCTCAAGCTTAAACTGAACTTGAACAATTTATGATTCAACAAAGTCAAATCCAAATATGAGCATGCTCGACTCGACTCGACTAGATTACAGACCGAAGGTCACACTCCCACTCAGCCCAGTTTGTCTCTCTAACTTTGAAAATGATTGGCTATACAAGCTTATTAAATTTTAGTTAGATAAAGTTTTTTTCAAACTCTACATACAGGCATCACATTTATTACATATCCTTTAAATATACTTGGCTAGTCACTAACGAAGACCTATTGAAAATATAAAATATTGGCTCTAACGGGCTATTTCAGGAAAATATTTATGTGATAATAATAAGAAAAATACAACATATTTTATCAGTAGATTACGAAAGTTTATCATTTAAAATAAGATAAAATTTATTTCTTATAAGTTTTATGAACATAGAATGTTATTTTTATTTAATGTTTTACGCTTTCACAAAGTCATGCACTTTAGTTCTCAGTTTTTAAGCAATTATTTCAGCACTTCTGCTAGCTAGAATTTAAGAAAGTAAGCCATGATGATGTTGTTTTTGCTAATCTATATATACCATTTGATGTGGTATATATATGAATCAAACAGAAGAACGATCGACGAAATAAAAAATAGAACGAGAAAAATCACATCAGAAAAGAACAACACAACGGAACACACAGATTTATGTGGTTCAGCAAATTGCCTACGTCCAAAAAGTTGCAGAGGATTTTACTACTTGAGGAATTTACATCAGTCGATCACCTCGACTTACAAGAAGAATCTCTCACTCTTCTTCTCTCTCTATACAGAGATACACCGAAGAAAACTCTACACCGAGATACACCGAAGAAGACAAACTTACAAGAGAAATAAACTCAATTTCTCTTATGCCACAAGCCACCAAGAAGAATCCTAGGAAGAACAATTTGTTTCTTCTTCCTTCTTTTTCTTTCTGCCGCAAGGAATTGCTCCTCCTTGCACTTCTCTTCCTCTGCCCTCAGAAAAACTTCCTCTATCCCGAGGAAATCGAAGAAGAACTCAAACGTGACTAATAAACCCAATGAGAGTCATCTGAAGCGTTTATCACGAACAGGCGAAAAGATGTTTCACTTCACAAAAGATGAATGCAGGAGTGATTATTTGTGAAGAGGTGTGACTCTCCAAATAAAGTAACCGCCCAAGCATAGTGGACCGAGCTCCACCATTTCTAACAGATGATTCCTTAAAATTAATTTCCTGGGACACATCAAAATATTTTTTTAGGAGCAGCTATAAAAATTTGATCACTTTGCAACACTCATTTATGCCCTCCATAAACACCATTTAACAAAAAAATATAGAATCTATACATTTAATGCCTAAACTTCATTATTTACATGCATAACTCTCAAAATGACAAATAACATATCATTATTCTTAACAATCATGTCATAGCGCCGGCATCATTAGCACATAGTTGGTCCCATCGTCCTTCACTAACACGCATCAGTCCGATCTCGCCAAGCCTTTCCGGGGAGATCTTCTCGTGACTTTCTTGTCTCGTCTTCTTTGTCTGTTAAAAATACAAGTCTGAATTGAGTATGATTTAACTAGTTAATTTTCATAAAAAAAAAAGTATGCGTTGAAAGACTTGAGCATGTCATTTATTATATTCTTCTTTAACTGCAGCGTTGTCATCTACATATTGTTTAAACGCAGCTTCCTCATCTACACATTTATCTGCAATGAAGTGGTGAGCATTCAGCGTCCAAGTGAGAGAGAGAGAGCTCCCGACAGAGTTTTCTGTCAGGGGATTGGAGATGATAACAGTATGTCACATGTCCAACAGTTGTCAAGTTATCATTTAATATAGGTTTTTATTAAACTTGTCATATGCAGGATTCACCAGTGTGCTCAAAATTTACTTTTGACTTTTTTGTGTTGTATTAAAAGCGTTTTATTTTATGGTCAGGCGTATATCATGTATAGTTTGCTTTTTATTTTGGATTTTTATTATCAAAATCTTATTTTTAAAATAAAAATTCAGTATTTGTACTTAAAACTTTTTATTTTTACCTTTTTTTTTTCTTTTGGAGAGAGTAGAAATTTGTTTTTCATGAGTAAATGTGTGATATATCACATATACTTCGAGTGAGCGAGCGATGGCACTTACGGGAGATAATATTATATTTTTTGTAAGTATGTGTGAACAATGATAAATATTGGAAATGTCACATCACTATAATTTAAGTTTAATAAGACTCAGCATTTCCATCCATTGTTATCTGCACATATATACAGTATGTAATATTTCCTTCACTTAAAAGAATAGAATGTGTTTTTTTTTAAATGGAGCAATAAATTGCAATGAGTGTCACTAACTATAACTTTGGAGAAACAATTGCCCTTTTCGACTAATGGTCCACAAATCTTTTTTTATGAGAACATGCACTTCAATACTCAATATTATGTTTCCTCTTTATTTATTATTTTATTTTAGTACACATCCTTTATATTTTTCGACGCACTTACATGTCTACCACGCATCTCTTATTTATTTACATATTTAACGTCTAACTTTCAAATTTACCTACATAATACTCAAGTCTATATTATTACACCAAAAATAATCATTATTATTAACTTTTTTTAAAAAAGCATAATTTTGTATTATTAAGTTTATGACATATCAAAATATTACAAATGGAAATATCAAATTTTGAGAATGTAGAAATTGTGTGGAATGTAAATAAAATTTTTTTTTTCGCTTTCACGGTCGGATTTTCTCTAGGCATTTGAAAATAAGAGCATTCAATTTGCATTTAGTTGGTTATGATAAGTTGTGCAACTTATTTATTACATTTGTCTACTATCACTATCATTCCATCCTCTCCTTTCATTTATACTCTTAGTCATAATTATAGTCCTATGATAATATTTGTTTTTGCTATAATAGTAGAATGGTTCATAACGCTTATCTATGTTAGAAAGCTTAATGGAAAATATATTGAATAACTTTACTTCTCTAGTTTGTGTTTTATTTTTAGGTTCTTTCTTTATTTTTATATTTGGCATAATATCAATTATGATCACGATATGAAAATGATCATTCCCTTCACGACTATTAAATTGGCTCCTTACCTCCCAATCCACTTTTTGTTTTTTTCTCTGAATAGGATTCTACAAGCACTTCAGCTAATATCATATGAACTTCTACTCTTACCAAGATGGGTGATATCTTGATTCCCAAATCAACCATAAAATTTTCATTTTCAACTTCAAAGATTTTGTCAGTATACAACTAACAAGTGACAATAATCCAATATGAAGACTTCATATGTTAGTAACGTTCACAACAAATGCTCTTGTAACTTCCCTTTGAGCTTCTTTACTATAAGCCTCCTCTTTACTCTCATCTCAAAGTATTTGGATGCCCACACTTCCCATGACTTCACCACATTCTCCACATAAATTGTCCCCCTAGTCCTCCGGAAAAACTAAGAAATAAACACAATCTCAAAGAAAACTTAATGGTATATTGAACAACTTTACTCTTCTAGTTTGTGTTTTATTTTTAGGTTCTTTCTTTATTTTTATATTCGACATAATATCCATTACGATCATGATATGAAATGATAATTCCCTTCCCAACTATTAAATTGGGTCCTTACCTCCCAATCCACTTTTTATTTTTTTCTCCAAATAAGATTCTACAAGCACTTCAGCTATTACCATATGAACTTCCACTCTTACCAAGATGGGTGATATCTTGATTCCCGAATCAACCATAAAATTTTTATTTTTAACTTCAAACATTTTGTCAGTATTCAACTAACTAGTGACAATTATCCAATATGAAGACTTCAAATGTTAGTGACGCTCACAACAAATGCTCTTGCAACTTCCCTTTGAACTTCTGTACTATAAGTCTCCTCTTTACTCTCATCTCAAAGTATTTGGATGCCCACACTTCCCATGGTTTCACCACATTCTACACATAAATTGCCCCCCTAGTCCTCCGAAAAAACTGAGAAACAAATACAATCTCAAAGAAAGCGTAATTGAAAATATATTGAATAACTTTACTCCTCTAGTTTGTGTTTTATTTTTAGGTTCTTTCTTTATTTTTGTATTCAACATAATATCCGTTATGATCATGATATGAAAATGGCATTCCCTTCACGACTATTAAATTGTCCCATTACCTCCCAATTCACTTCTTCTTTTTCTTTTTCTCCAAGTAGGATTCTACAAGCACTTCAGCTAATACCATATGAACTTCCACTCTTACCAAGATGGGTGATATCTTGATTCCTGAATCAACCATAAAATTTTCATTTTCAACTTCAAACTCTTTGACAGTATTCAACTAACAAGTGAAAACTATCCAATATGAAGACTTCATATGTTAGTAACGTTGACAGCAAATGCTCTTGCAACTTTCCTCTGAGCTTCTTTACTATAAGCCTCCACTTTACTCTCATCTGAAAGTATTTGGATGCCCACACTTTACATGGCTTCACCACATTCTCCACATAAATTGTCCCCCTAGTCCTCCGAAAAAACTGAGAAATAAACACAATCTCAAAGAAAGTGTAATGGAAAATATATTGAATAACTTTGCTCCTCTAGTTTGTGTTTTATTTTTAGGTTCTTTTGTTATTTCTATATACGACATATTATCCATTGTGATCATGATATGAAAATGATCATTCCCTTCACAACTATTAAATTGTCTTCTTCTTATTCTCCAAATAGGATTCTACAAACATTTCAATTAATACCATATGAACTTCCACTCTTACCAAGATAGGTGATATCTTGATTCCTCAATCAACCATAAATTTTTCCTTTTCAACCTCGAGCAAATTGCTAGTATTCAACTAACAATTGATAATTATCCAATATGAAGTCTTCATATCGTAAAAAAGTTCCTAACAAATCCTCTTGCAACTTCCATTTGAGCTTCTTTACTATAAGCCTCCTCTTTGCTCTCATCTCAAATTATTTGGATGCTCACGCTTCTCATGGCTTCACCACATTCTCCACATAAATCATCCCCCTAGTCATCATGAAAGACTGAGAGTTAAACACAATCTCAAAGATTTACTTGAAGCAATAAAAAAACAAATTACTTTAATAAAATCAAAATGGTTGAAATTAAGTAGAAGTAATCCAAAACAATTCATTTAAATAAATCACCAAAGAATATAAAACATACCAAAATCTTATAAAAATCCAAATTTCATTTGACACCTTAACACTTCTCTATCTTACAATAATTGTACAATAAAATATAATAACAAAAATATATTGATTCAATTCAACTTTGACCATTCTTTTCTCATTTTCTATAAAAATATTTGTAACAATCTATCTAGCTATAAAGCTTTATAAAATACATAAAATTTAATACTAAACTCAAATATTTAAGAAGAATGAATGAAGTGTATAAATCATGAATGAGTATAATCGTCATGGTGTATATGGAATGTACATTATCATAACCGTAGAAAATTCAACTTTGATAGCATAAACATTAACCTTAAAATATGTGTCCTATAAATAGTAATGAATTACAATATTGACGAATGGTGAATGACATGTTTGCAAATCAATAATGAATATAATCTTAAAAGAGTATATGAGATCATTACATTATTATAACAATATAAATTAAATTAACTTTAGTTGTATAAACATAAACATTATATGAGTACAATAAATAGTAACGAGTTACAAATATATTTTTTCTCAGTACATTAAACATATTAATGATCTACATATACTATATCAAATCTTTTTCTATTAGTTATTTTTATTTTTCTTTTATTTCACATGAGTTTTAAAGTGTGTCATGTATTGTTGTGTAAGTTTATTGGCCATCATAAAATAGTAGGTTGGAAATCTAAATCATGTAACATAAGATATGGGCACAACCTTAAAGTGTAACTATAGGAATTTAAATTTTTTTTGGACGACCACAATCTGTTGATTATGATAAGAAAAATTGTTGCTTTACTTTTACTGATAGTTTTACACTTGTCGGTAATTAAAAAAAATTAAATTTATGCTTGAAAGCCTTCTGTTACAGCGTCGGTGTCGCTGCTCACGCTTGAGTTTTGGTGTCATCGGTGTCGTAGCTCACTCCAAATTTCCTCGAGATCCGAATCTCTAAACCCAAGGCAAAGCACTGTAGGGAGACAAATTTAGAGGTCTTTTTCGCAACAAGGAGATAAACGATCTAGCACACAAAGACATGACGATTCATAGCCGCGACAAGAAGCATTCTGAAAAGAAAAATGAGGCTTACCGACGGCGAGGGATGGGGGATGTGAAGAAATGAGACGAGGCTCGAAGTGGAAGCGCAGACTATAAGGGCTTATGATATTGCCACAAGGGCCTTCAAAAGATCTAAGGCGAAGTCCAATTATCCTTTCTCTAAGAACTACAAGAGTCCTAGCTCGCCGGTAGTTCTAGCAGCTAGAGTAGCACCATGGAGTCCTCCATTCGTGAAGTTATATCTATTGTGCCTCCCCTTGCAACTCCTATTCCTCAGGTAGAGCACAATCTTCTCCATCCCGACACATTGCGCTTCCCTTTCCACACTTTCACCTGGTCATCGTAGCTCAGGCGGCGACGATCACAGTGGCACACCCTTTGTTTCTCTTCAATCCCTTCATCAGATCAGAGAGGTCAGAACGATGGCCGCCAAAGTAACTATTGGAGGCCATAATTATAACCATTTACTTGAACTGCAACATCCACCGATAAACTCCAGCGTGAACAACAACACCGGCGCCGTAACAAATGATCTCGGCGTAAATTCAAAATTTTGAGATTTTTATATAGAATAAATATAATTTTGGGACCTCCATATTTAAAAACCCTTCATTTTTTTTAGAACATGGTCCCCTTCTAAATGAATTTGGTTCTATTACTGTTTGACCCTTTTTTTGAATAAATGTTAGCAGCTTGAAATAAATAAGGCACATTTACATACATATCACCTAAATATTATGTATTTAAATACTAACACCTAAATTTTATTTTTCATGTTTATACCACCGAAATTTCATATTACATAAAAAAGTGAAATTAACATCTTTTCATCCACAACTTAGCGTCAGCGTCCCTTTTTTTCTCCTTTTGCCCTCACAATTGCAAAGCATCCTCCCGATTCTGCAAGCTTCGTCCTTTTGAAATCGACCCTTTTCTTTTTAGTTCCCTTCTCCATGGCAGCGACTGAGAAGAGTCATAGAGAACAAAAATGTCGGTCCCTCTTCGATCTCCCTTCCGATTTCTTCGATTCTTGCCGCCTCCTCCTCTCCGACCATCCTTCGATAACATCCACAGACGTGTCTTCTACATCTCATACGTCGGACGCTCCGGCAGCGAGCGCAGATAGCGTCGCACACGGAGAGGAACCCCACTTAAAGGTCATAGAAGAGAAGCTGAAGGGGGCTACCAAGCGATGGACTTGCAACGTCTGCAAGTCGGAGTTTGAATCCCTCCATGATCAGCGATCGCATTTCAAATCCGACCTCCACCGCCTCAATGTGAGCTCCCTTTCTCGAAATCTATTTCTATGGGCTTCTTATGCATCCCTTTCAACCGTCGTGAGTAAAAGGATTTGAGGTTTTATACCCCTAAACTGTCTTCTGGCCATGTTTCTACATGAGAAGACTCATCGAGAACAGGCAGCCGCGTGGTAGAAATTTTCTTGAATTTATTTATAAACAACAGAAAGATGGAGAAATATGGAGGGTTAGAAATATATAATGATTCCTCAAACAATTGATGTCCATTTCTCAATATATCATTTTGTTGAATTTGCAAAGTAAAATGTTAAATAGTCAGTTGCAAAATAACTTCACGAAACCCTCGAATGACAGGAAAAAAAATGAGCGCCGAACCGCAGAAGGTATTAGTAGGTTATTGGGAGGTTATTGAGATGTTATTGGGGTTAATACCCCCAATAACCTTTTAATAACCCCTTTAATAACCCCCAATAACAACCCCCAATAACTGAGTTATTGGAAGGTTATTCGAGGTCATACACACGCAAAATTGTGTGCGTATGACGTATGTAAATAGCGCTTGTTTGGGAGTGCCTTTTAATAGAATTTACCACCGAATTTACTAAGGGCTTGCTTGACAACACTTCACCGTTGAAAAAATTTCTTTTAAAGCCGCATTTCACACTACCGTATCTCATTTGCCATACAGAATGGAAGGAAATGCAGTTGAAATAGCGTTGCGATGTGAAAAACATTTTGAAAAATTGATTTGCTAAACAACATTTATGTTTTATGCGCTTTCTGTAGAATGCAACGGAGGCTAAACGCCTCCTCAAACAAAGCCTAAATTTAACGAAATACTAAAATGCATAAATGATTTATGAATTTTTTTGATATAATGTTCCAAATTTGCTTCGATTCAGCTTAAATCTAGATTTACTAATTCCAGGAGTAGGGAGGATTTAACGGATTTACGATATATGGATTTACTAAATTCTCTTTACTCTAAATCCTAGTTGCAGCCAAACACCCTTTAAATGTTATGGAATCATAAAGTAAAAATATTTTTATTTAAAACATCTGAATTACTTGACCGTCTTTAACCAAATGATGCAATTTTTCTTAAGCAAGTTAGGGAAATATTATATTAGTATTAAATGTAAAATAAAATATTAACACTAACAATCAACTTAAATAATGGAGCATAAAGTAAAATTAAGTATGACTCATAAACAACCTAAAGTTTGCGTACTTCCATTCCAAAATTATCCAACCTATGTGCTATCAATTTTCTAAAATTGATAGAACTCTACTACAGATGTTGAATTCTGATTTGCCCTTAGACTCACACGTCGAGAGAAGAATTAGTAAAGAAGCAAAGTCTGAATTGAAGAAAAGGGATGTAGGGGATGTTGTATTATTTCTTTGAGTATAGTTCAACAATCCGTCGTTTTACATTACATCTTTTCCCTTATATAAGGGTATTCTCCTATATAATATACATATGTGATGATTATACTTAGATCTCTAGGGATCTATGACAATAATTTTTTGTCTTATTCTTACATATATGCATAAATAATGTTAACTCTAGCATGTTATCCTCTATCGGTATCGCATTCCATATTCTATTCCACTGTACACTTTGTTTGTTCACATCTCAACATCTGCTTGACCCTCTGATTAGAATTTGCCCTGAGGCTAACTCTCCTTTGGAGCGGATAGGCTTCTAATTCAACATGATGACTGAGAATAGAAGGGAGACTTATGACAAAGCTATTGAAGATATTTGCCAGGCGTTTACTCATGCCATGTTTCTTGTATTCGGCTACTCGTCATCAATCGATTGTATTTGGCTGCTCGTCATCAATCGAGTGTATTCGGCTGCTCGTCATCAATCGATTGTATTTGAAAATTTGTTGATGATTGTTTATGTTTGGTTGTTAGCACTCAGTTGATCATATACTCAACTAATCGTCAACCCAATTTTTTTGATTGAGCCAAAAGGCCCATTAAGCTTGCTTGGACCTTTATTGGCTCAATAAAATTGTTTTTTGTCACACACACACACACACACACACACACACACATATATAGTTCTTTTTTCTCTTATCTCTTAAAAAGCTTTACTACGAAAATAATAAGAGAATAAAAATATTGAACCATTGATAAATTTCTTGTCATTTATGAATTACTCCATTGAAGTTTAGAATCTTGAGTTCTGATAAAAAACCAATAAAGAGCAATGAACTCTCTGCTTTGCTACTCCTGCTCATTTTGTTATTTAATCTTTTGGTATATTCATTGCTGCAAAGATTCAGATGGAAAATATTATGGAAGAGCATACCAAAATTCTTAACCCGAACACTTGGATGGTTTGCTAAAAAACTCAAGCGAGTGGACGACTCTATGAAGAGGAAGATGGTGCTGAAACGGATAGGGGGTTTGACCTTTGCCCAAGGAGAGGCATCTTTAAAAGTTCCTCCGGGGACTATCATTGACTTGGATTCATTGAAAGGTTATCTTCTGAGGATCAAACTTCTCTAAACCAAGGCCTTGTGGAGAAGTTGCGAAAAGATTTGTGTTTGTTGATGTTGGCGAATAAGGTGAAATGCCTACATCTTCACAACTTCAATGAGTGGGTTACACAGTATGTAAAATTTATGCATCAAAATTAGCAATTATTGAATATGTGTCATATTATTTTTATTCTCCCTCTTTGCTTGTAATGCTTTTTACTTATATAGAACTCATGAGATTGGACTCCCGTACAAAGAATGTGAGCGAACTAAATTTGAATGTGGCACTAGATTCTCTTGAAGGTAAGGATGGTCAGGTTGAAGAACTGATCAATCAACAACTCTTCCGCGAAGTACCTTCTATGGCTGAGGATAAGAACGAGATGAAGACTGTAGGCGAAAACAAAGAGGGTCATGTGGTTAGGGCGCACACCCTACCCCAGCAAGATAGGGAGGGCTCGCTGCGAGACTCCCTTAGAATTTCTTTGGTTGCTGATTCAGTTGAGCTTGTGCATTAAATGGCTAAGTTGAAACATGCAATTCTTGAGTTGAGGGGATCCTTAGGTGATTTCAAGAATGGCTTGACTGATTTGAAGGATAGGTGATCGTATTTCAGAATCAAGCAGAGTCTAGTTGCTTAGCCTAGTTCAAAGCTACTTGGTGTTTTTTGCTGAAGCGATTTATTTGTCCTGGTTGAGTTCCGACATAAATCATTTGAGATCCCTTGTCAATTTGAGACGTGTTCTCAACTTATCTCCTTGAATTTACATGCACGGGTAGCATGAAACTCACCGATCAACTTAAGATCGTCAGAACAAGTAATCTACGGGATGATCTGAGAATGTGCTAATGTTGAATATTCAAATTTTTAATGTGGGAAAAGTGAGAGACGTGATCATCAACTCGATCGTCTAGTAGCGAGCAAGAGCTTTTAATTCGTAAAAAAAATTCCTTGCCATGTCGAGTGTAGATTCTGTGATCTTTTCTCCTACAAATTATTGTATCCCTGGTGGATTTTGCTTTATTGTTTGAGCGAATTCCTTCAGTTGAGTTTTTTTTGAGCAAATAGCTTATATTCAAGACTTAATGATAGAGGGGTTTTATAATGCTTGAACATTTTTAAGAGAATAGAAGTTGTGTTTGATGCAAGTGAATAGAGATTATATGTTTGATATAAAAACATTATATATTATTTAACACATTTCTAAAATTCTACCAGGTTGATTACTGTCGGGCAAGCTCAATCGGTTGATTTCCCCGAGCATGAGGTGTAATAATAATGAAATCTAAAGATGAGGATAAGAATGTATTGAATGTTTGTAATCTTGTGAAGAAGATTAATTTGTATTAGTAAATATATGGATACTTTCTGTAGAGATCAACGTTCCATCATGTGTTGGTCAAAGATTCAACTCTTTTAATGCTGAATTGATTATTCCCACAAATCTTTTCAATTCCTCTTGTTGTACTGACTTTCAGGAGAGCAAGGTGTGATCACGAGGGTGACCCTCAAATAATGAGCAGTTTATGGCAAGCTTTTAGATGAAATGAGTGCATGAATGAATCAAAGCCTACTCTAATAGGGAGAGAAAGATTATTGAGCTATAAAAGTAATATATTAAACCAATGTTACTATATGTGAGGCACCTTTTGTGGAACGAGTAGAGTTTTAGTGGGAACTACAAAATTGGGCCTGCTTATGATAGAGTATGCTTAGAGTAGTTGACATATTGAGAAGTTACACTAATAGAGTAAAACTGTGAGGTTTAGCTTGGGAAAAAATGAGCAATCCTTTTGCATAATATTCGGTTGGATCATTCATGATGCATTTGAGTACGACTAAACATTATACTTCATGGGCTGCTTTGGTCACAAGTCTTACACTTCTTGGAAGAGTGGTGCTTATTTCTTAATAATTGTTGTAATTGTGGATCTCTAAATTTACTTAATGTTGAAAAACAAAGCCTATTTCTTTCTTCATTAAAAACCAAATAAGTTGAAATAAATATTTTTGTAATACATATATAAGTTTACCTTTATGTGCAGCCACCATGATACATTTATTGTTGTTACACTATAGTCCTTTTTTAGGGAGCTCTGCTTCCCATCCTTAATCATGTGACACTAGTAGGAGCAATACAACACTGGATACCAATCATTTTGGTATGCACGAGATATCGTAGATGTAGTCTTTGATGTTGCAAATTTCTATTGATATTGATCAAATTTCATCACAACCCCCTTTTGAAAGGCAACACAGACGATAGTGTTTTGTTTGAGATACGGTGTCCAATGTCACCTTCTGCTGAAGAGTGGTAGTAATGTGGTTCTTCTAGTTTGTCCTCGATGCTCATCTCTTATTTGGCATAGTGCTCAAATTGCATAATTCTTTGTCTTAATTAGACTATGACCAATGGTTAGGCATCATTGCCACGTTTATAGGATCAGACATGATATTGTTCATAGTATTAGCAATCATCTATGCTTTCCTATTTTTTTTCCACTATTCAGACAAGAGTTCAGGGTTCACATCCCCAAATTTGTCTCTGATATGACCAAGCTTCCATTATTTATCATATATCGTCCTTGTAATGTTTCATTAGAGGTTGAAGTAGGTTTTAGTGCATTACTTTTCTTTTTTTGCTTTTCATTTTTTGAATGGCTAATTTCTTTTTTCGACAGTTCTCATGCCTTATTTTTCCTGTGTTGATTTTTGCACTCTACAATATCATCACCATATCAACTTGATTGAGATGGTAATTGAAAATACGCATAAGTCATTTATAATTTGTGAATAATGCCTTGAGGTGCATTTCATTAGAGTTTGCAGAAATATTTCTAATGTAACATCTTGACATAAAAATTGGATCGTGTACTTATGCACAAATTGCCATCAGAAATATATTAAATCATTCTTGTTTCATTCTATCTTCTTCACACCCTATCTAATAGAATTCTCAACGTATCAGCTACTTCAACACGCTTAAGGCATCTTTTGATAGCTATTCATCTTTAGATTAGCATTTTATCATGTCAAGGCATGATAATTTAACTCTGATTGGGCAATTGAAACCTTATAATGGGTGGTTTTCTTATTTAAGCTGAAATCCCAATTTGTCTATCAATGCATCTGACTTCTCAAAATCAACTCTTCTATCATTGGTATGAATCTTCACATTGGCTTCTACTTTAAATGACGGCACTCTCTTGAATGATATCCATCACCTCACCGTCATCCTCTTCATGCATGTTTATATTAGGCATGAAAGATTAGCAGAAATACAACTCACCTAACTAGTCATAACAAAGATTATTTTCATCCTTATCTACTCCATCATGATCATGTGCTTTATCATTCTAGCCATTTTGACGGCTAGATTTAGTTTAGAATCATCATTGTTCATTGATTGACTTTCTTCTTCTCTTTTGTTTCTTGTCCTTTTTCTGCCTTTTAATATATCTCTAACGTAAGAGGTGAATCTACCTTGTCTTTATTTTCCTTTTTGATTTTTACCATATCTTGATGATCAATACTCTAATACCGACTAATTATGTAGACCCCCTCCTTAAGTTTTCCTTTGCTGGATATATATAGGATTCCCTTTTGCTGTTTTTTTTTCTATATGGCAACAAAACAATTGCTGTTTTTTTCTATTTGGACTTGGAGTGTTGTAGACGCAACGGAAGTTCATAACAGTAACAAAAATGCTAGAATAGCACTAATCGACAACTACTAAGAGTGGAAGGGATAAACAAGCAGTAGCACTAGCATAGAGGCAAACAATTTCAACACTCCTTGTGGAAAGAAGCTCTTTGTCGGCAAGAGGAGCTTCCTCCCTCCTGGTTTAGTTGTAGGATCAGAAATTTGTTGTCTTTTGACATGAGCTCCTCCCTTCAGTTTGAGCTATACGACTAAAGAATTTGCTGTCTTTGACAAATTGACAATTAGCTATAGTACCAAAATTGCTGCCGTTATATGTAAAAAAGGGCATTATCATACTTGAGTTTTTATTATTTTTTTCCAATAAAATTTCAAATTTTTAAATAGACAATTATAACAAGGATATATCTAGTCCATATCTAATTAAAATTCGTCAAAAAAGAGAAACCTTATATATAATGACAACTCAAGTAGTGATTCTAGCAGAAATTATCCTTGATAGTGGATTACAAATTAAAAAATAGGTATATCCAATTTAACTAAAATATTTAAAGCTCATCCTTTTCTGTTGTATTATGATGTTTGGTTCAAAACTCATTTGTGTAAGTTTTAATATCTCTCATATGGTGTTATGTTGATGATTTGACGTGCCTATGGGCTCTTGGTGACAAACGCTTTGATATTAACAACGTGATTTGAGAATCATTGGTAACAATTTTCATAGAGAGTTCATATCATTAAACTTATAACAAACATGATCTCCTAGATTTTTTATGATTTAATGTCCAAATTTTGATCATGTATGATTTGATTTATAATCTACTCATTTTTCTGCATATCAGAATAAGAACGACTATTCCAAGAAATAGATTCCACACAGTCATAATATGACAAAAATGTAGGTATAAATGAAAATAAATTTTCTTCGAACCAAATTGATGTAAAATAAGTCATGGGATGGTAAAATTTTTTTGGAATTGATTGATAAAATAAAAAAAACAATTAATGAAAGAGATATAAAAAGAGAGAGTGGGGGGTAGAAAGATTTAATGTTTTTTTGCATGTTTCCCAAAATATCATGTTATTGAATCTTAAAAGCAAGATGATATATTTTCAAAGCACCCATATGAGGTTAAAATCTCATAAAACTATGACTTAAAAATAGTTCATTATTTATTATTTAAAGTATATGACTTAGGGCACTATTTTATTAATAGTTTTTATTCCAATGACAAAATTGCCATTAAACAGACATGTTAAATACCTAACTAGTTCTTATGAAAAAGAAACATTAATCACTAGCAATCAATTTATATTACAAACATTAATAAAGGATGAAGCAACATGAAAACATGACACATAAGGTACAAAAACTTTAAAATCCACTAAAAGCAATAGTAGCCATCACATGGGTACATCAACGTCTTTTTATTTTTTTTGAAGTTTTTCTTTTCTTATAATAATATATTTGTTCAAAAGTTGATACTTCTCTTATAACTAATTATCTTGTTTTTACTTTCATTGATTCCTAGATTAAGCTGAGTGTTGCTGGTAAGAATATTGTCAAGGAGGAAGAATTCGATGAAGAGGGTTGTGATATTTCCTTTGAAGATTTTGACGTATCTAGTATTTCAGGCTCTGAAGATGAGTTTGAAAAAGGTGCAGTTACAAAAATCAAAACAAGGGAAGGATTTAAACAAAAATTGTATCTTCGTCTCTACTCAGGGGGAATAGTTTCTGTATGGAGAAGTTTGATTTTGGATGAGTCTGAGGATGTTTCTCTGGATGAATACAAGGAAAACCAATTGAGAGATGATGGAAGTGCATTAAACATTGGAGAGGATGAGTTGATAAACAAGTTGAAATATTTACTCTCCGAACCTCGAGATAAATCCCACTTGAGGATTGTTTTGCTTTTGACTGGTGGGCATTTTGCGGGGTGTGTCTTTGATGGGAATTCAATTATAGCACATAAGACATTCCATAGGTAAGTTAATCAAATTGTTAATTTTTCAATATTTTGTTATGCTCTTAGATACGTATTAATGACCATATGTTTCTTCATATATTCTAAATATGCCATATTTAATAGTTCCAAAAATTCTTCTTTCAAGATGATATTTAGCTTCTCATGCATCGAGCCTGATTGAATGTTGACGCTTTAGTTCTTTTGTAAGTTGCTCTTTGACTATAGGAGAGGACATTGTTTTTAAACCAATGTAACTTAACAAAGTCATGCCAATACACTTGTCCAATATGCTCACCATCAGCTTTCTTGAACATGCATATGTTTGGGGGAGGGAAGTTGTATCTTTTGACTAAAAGTATGGCCATAAGAATATTTCTTTTGTTTTTTGTTCTATTCAAGAGTCATGATCATCATTAAACTTTACCTTACTACTTGGTGGTTGTCTTACTTCTCCAAAAGATTCTCTAGTAAAACTATAGGTAAATAATGCACAAAAAGCTGGCTATGTATAGAAGCCACAATTTGTTGTGCAATGTGCACAATGATATTCTTAATAAAAATGGTTTAAAATCACATCCATATCAGGTATTGTTGGGGAAACTCGTGATGCTAAAATGCACATGTTCAAATTTTCCATACTTTTTCTAACATTATTTTTTTTAATGTACCTGCAAAATGGTATATAAAATCATTATTGTTAGATATTCCAATCTGTGGTAAAAACTTGTTAACCTTAATTGATATATTGATGCCAATTAATTATTTCAGCACTAGTTTTTCTCTGTAAAATAATCAGAGGGTAATTCAATTAAATACTAAAATTCTTTCGACTAAGTTTTGATGGGCTATATGGTTGCAGGTATTGCTGGTGTACTTCAAAACAAATGTGAAGCCTCAGAGTTTTTAATGTTTAGTTGGCATAAAACAAATGCAATGTAATATTTGGAGTTTGGCGTACTGTGATCAGTATATTTTGGGTTTATTTTGAATTCACCCAAATCCGACAAATTTGGAATACAGTGAACTCACATGAAGTAGTTCTTATGTGCCATGTGAATCCTCATCAAACCCCCATGTAACTTTGTGAAACCATGTACACTTATGAAAGCTAATTGAACTCACCAAACTCACGTCTACATTTGACATCTCTCCTCCATCTTTATCCTTGATGCTTATGACACCATTAGATGCGGACCACAACACTGTTGACTTGATGCTTTCCACACTGCCAACATCTTGCAGCTCTGCCCTACCACAAGCTCAGGCCCCATTCTTGCCACATGCCTTCATCTTTGTCTTTTTGTGCTCTAGGTTATTTTTTTTTTATTTCGTAATTCATTTATTTTTATTTGTTCCAACCAAGCACAAGAATTATCTATCGAATTTTAAATACGCTATTTATTTTACTTTGCATTTAACTTATAGTTACTTGCAACCAGACGCCCCCTAAAATGAGGCTAGTAAGAAGGCTATTGGACTTATCCATCACTTGCGTGTGACATAGTACCTAAGCAAATGGTAATGTGCTGCTGCATAGTGATGAGATTAAATCTTTATAAGATAGTTTATTTCAGACTTTTGACGTCCATGTTTAGTTACATCTCATGCAATTGATCACTCGATTCATTCCAGGACTTGAGAAAACATTGTTGACTGTGTTGAAGATTGTTCTAAATGTGCCATCACAGACATTGACGTGCTTGGAGTTGGCATGCTAAAACAAGTTGGCACTTTATAAAAACTCTTATAGGGATTTTTTTTTTAATTTTTCTTCCATATTGTCAATTCTGTTTGGACATTTTATATATTCTAGAACAGTATTTTTTGCTTGGGTATGTAGCACTACATATATTCCATCTTTAACTTACTGTTTTATTCTTATTTGAGGGCCAATTTTTTTTTTTTTTTGATTGGTTACTATGAAATGTAGCATGTTATTATTTTAAAACAAGAGACATTTAAACTGATGAAAACAAGTTGGCACCTTATTTCGGTTTGTTTACCTCCACAATTATGGGTAATTGAACTTATATTTGCTTATTAAATATTAATTAACCAAGTTAAGATTTTTTATCTTTAAAGTTAGGTTTAATTGATTTGGCTAATTAAAATCTATAAGATTTTTTATCTTTAAAGTTAGGTTTAATTGATTTAGCTAATTAAAATCTATAACAATTAATTAAATAAATTGAGTTTGCAGTTAACTTAATAATTTATTGGCACTATTTTGATATTTTTGATTAGCTAAAATGATGATAAAATAGAAAAAAATGGATCCAGTGTGGATTTGATTTGCTAAAGTGTAGTGTCTTCTTCGATAAAATTGCATTCAACTTGTGCTATACTTAGCAATTAGTCACAGTTTGCAACCTCCGAGGCTGTTTCCTTCGCCAATTCCTAGTTGCATCAAGCAACCACAACATTGATGAAACTCGGAGAATAACCACATCTGCCACACTCTGTCTAGCCTTGGCTCCACATCCGATAAGATTTATTTGACGTGGCAGCTCAATTCTTCCCCTGCCCAGCTACATCATACAACTTATCTATATGAGAGTCGCACGTCTTTATATTTATCGGAATAACATATGCCAACAGAGCCTTTTTTGGTCCATATCAACACAATCCACAATTGTAGGAGGCTACCTTCTTTTTACTTTAATTTATTGATGTATCTTAACAACAATTCACATATCTTCTGCTTTTTAAACTCCCGACACAAGGTAACATTGCACACAATAGCACATCTCATGGTTATTTCATCCAACTGAGGACTTCTATTTCATCCAACTTATTTCTCTATAAATACCGCAATAACTCTACTTGAGAAATGAAAGTGTTGACCTCTCATAAGAAGGCATAAAATAGTTGGCTTCAAAAAGAGGCTTAGGAAGAATGAAGGGTTGTATATGTTGAAGGAGAGATATGGAGTTTACTCCTCATATGATTCTATAAAGACTCATCAATCTTTGGTCCATATTATTTGAAGACCCCGTGTCATTACCTATTAGCTTTATTGCACTTGAAGGCTACAACTGTTAATTTTGGTTTAGCCTTAGATTTTTTTTGCTCTTTTTATTTTTGCTCTGAATACATGGCGTGATTTCTTCCTTTTGTCTATGATAACGTGTGTCCGAAAGTCTAATGATGGATTTTCCACCGTTCCTGAATGATGGTGTTTGCAATTTCTTCATGGTCTTCAAGTCATCAATGTGTTCTATCTTTTTAGCCAACGCGAGAAAACCTAACCATGCTCAATGCTGTCTATTAAATAGATAAGATATAAAGCTCCATAGCCTTTTTGGTGATCTATGCACCCCACTCATGAATGAAGGATAGTAGTGGACGGAGATGACCGAAGGAAATGGTGAGTTGACAAATCTTATGATTAGATCAATTGATAAAAGAGACCGAGTCTCAAGATTAGATCTATTTTTTTTCTTAAAACTTAATAATAATTTGTTGACTTAATAGGAACTATTCTAATGTCCAATCATCTGCAATGAGTTTTACAACTTTGCTTTAAAAGAGAAAAAAATGTTAATTATTAAATCATTAATCATTAATTAAGGCATTCCAATTTGTAGCTGTCTTATGATTTCTTGCTCTCTCAGTGAGACTTGCAGCCACGCATTTGCAGCTAAGGAATATTAAAGACATTATTTACTACCTCACTTGGACAACCAATTTTTGCCATTCGGTAATCACTTGTTTGATGAGAAGCAGTTTTATAATAAAGTCAGATATTACAAAATGAATGCTATAGTTTTCAAACTTAGGCCAATAGTTCCTTTATATGTCTTGGTGACACATGAAGGTAATAGTGCTTTCCAAAGGTAGAAAAATTACTGATGGGTCCTCCATTGGCCACATCACCATAATAGCATTGGGGTCGCAATTCAAGTCTATATAGGGTCAGCTTGGTTGATCAGACAAATAGACTATGTATTTGGGTCTTACCACGTTTACTCTTAGTTAATTTGAAAATCATATTGTATTGCCACCTCAATTTATGTGCTAAAGATTGTTCCGTAGCAAAGTTGCTAACTAATCTTGAATCTTTTATGCACTCAGGGTTGAGCCTCTCTTTTGGGCTTTCCTTGCTCTTGAAGTTGCTAGTCTCACTTATAGGCTTTTCTAAGATATAAGCTCTAACTTAATTAAACCAACACAAAAAGAAAAACTTATTCAGTTAAACCAAAATCTTGGACTTCCCCTATATTAGAGTTGTAGGTCCCATTAATAAACAAAGATTCCGTAGGATGTAAGACCCAACCATTGTTCGATATGATAATGATCAAAACCTCAATCCATACAAACTTTCCCTTCTATGTATGACCCGACCTTGTATTGAGTTTAAGACAATGATATGAAACTTAAATTGTACAAGAACTCCTCAATTTTTAAGCCCAATTTGGGGCCAAGTTTTTCATGATTATGCGAACCTTGAATTGCATGCTTTTTCTTTAGGATGTGAGACTTAACCTTTTGCTAACTTTATAATAATAATAATAATAATAATCTTTGAACCCATCCTTTGATGATTAATTCAATCAACTCAACTCATCATTCAAGCATGCTTATTCTATAATCCACGAGCCTTTTATACTGTTCTAAGCCAATATGATTATGACGGTCAAGTCAACCTTTGGGTATACATATGCTAAAATCTCAACTTGCAGATAATATTTACCTTTCTCTCGAAAATAAGCTCCCCCTTTCGAAGCTGACTAAAGTGAACCAATCCATGATGCCAAATTGACAAACCAGAGTAGAAAAATCTAGTGAAGTGGTTTATTTTTGCTAATCTAACGCTTATTGTTGTAAACTTGAATCATTCCTCTAAATTAACACTTTATGATGAAACAAATTCCAACTTAACTATTTAACTCAAGATTTGCTTCATTATGTAACTTGTGGATAGGATTCTCAGCCCTTTTCCATGTGATTTAATTACTTCAAAGTAAGGAAATGGTCCTCTGGCATAGCCATCAAATCAATGTTTGATATGAAGCATGACTTCAAAACAAAAAGTTTCTCATACATTAATTCAATATGCTAAGGCATAATCCCATTAAAATTGAATCAATCATATCCGTTCTTCGAGTCATCATTGTTGGTTCCATGATCTTTTATGCTTCATGCTTATGAATTGCTTAACCAATATGGTTGATAAGTCCTTCCCAACAAATGTGTTAAGCACAATCTTGGAAGCATGTCTTTGATATACACCAGTATGATTTGTTTGAGATGCCCGGTAGATAGTAACCAATAATTACTAATTAGAGTTCTTAGATGTTAAAACTTAAAGCCCCTTGATATTGACATATTTAGTTTACTAGTAGACCCGGATGACATGACTACAATATTTTGATTGAATTTATCTCCAGACCTCAAATCATTCTTCAATCAATCAAATTAAATCTAAACATTGAAATTTAAGCTTAAAATTGAGCCAAAGAGACTGTCTAATTGAGAATTTTTTTTCATGATTGAGAGGGGTAATTAATTAACAATGGTGATTTATTCCTAAATGAGGTCTCAATCCCGATCTAAATAAATCTTAGCCTGTCATCGTGAAAATTTTGATTAACTATATTCAAGCTTCCTCGTGACATTTGCTAGACACCCTATTTGGTGTATATATATTTTCCTGTTATTTAGTTATTGAATTGGTTTTCCACTTCTCATCCTGGTTTTTTTCTGCAACATATCTTGGTTTTCTATGCCTTATAATTTTTGTTGTTTGATTGATTATTTTTGTCTTTTCTTTTCTCTTTTGTCATTTTCCAGATTTTTCTTGCCCTTTTATTTAAATGACAATAAACATTTTTAGATGTACCTCTTAAATTAGAAATAGGGGATCGTAATTGAGTTAAAATTGGATATTAAATAGAAATGGTACCTTCAAGGTACATGATGGGAGGATCATGAAATTTTTGAAGGAAATCTTTATAGAACAACATTTTGAATCATGTTTTAGAAATAAAGAAGTTATTAATGTTCAAGCTGAATGTATTGGAGATGAGAATATTAAGAGGATGCATGGCAAAATTGTCAGTGCTTGATTGTGAAATAGATTATGTTACAGAATGAGAGTACCTTTTGTTTTAGATGTACTTTTGCTGAAAATAATTAAATGGTTTGAACATGAATGACATGGAACTTGAGTTATACTAATAAGATGTCTGCATAGAATAATATGAAACCTACATGAACGAAAAAAGGAAAGATTAAATGTAACATAGTTTTGCAACATTATCCTTTTTTTTTGTTTTGGTACTACATGCAGAATAAAAGTGACCCTAATATAGTTTGGAAATTACCAATATTTTAAAAATGATCATTCTAAGGTTTAGATTGCCACTTGCTAATGGGTATAAAAATGCATGATATTGCTACGTTATGTTTATATTTTGTCATTTTTATGCTTTTCCATGGTATTTGTGATTGTATTTGCAGTGTAAAGGTGATTAGGGGACTTGGGGAGCTAAGAAGCTGAAATGGAGTGCATTACAGCTTGCCGGGGCACCACCTTTCTCTTTCTGGGCGTCCCTTTGCCTGTCCTGGGCAGTCAGGCATTAGATCTGGGCGTCTAGAAGCCCGCAGACAGAGCCTCAGGCACCGAGGCACCAATTATGGGTGCCCAGACGCCAAAGACAGAGTCCCAGGAGCCAGTTCTGGGCGCGTAGGCGCCTGAATCCACATTTTGACAATTGTTTCACATCGTTTCACATTAAACTAGTTAAATTAGACTTATAAGAAGCAGTGAGGGGACTTTTAAATGGAGGAGACTTGATTTTCTTGAAGAATCATATCCAGAGATGTTTCTAACGGTGGAGCATTATAAAATTAAGCGAAAGTGTGAGACCCCTCTAGTGTGGAATGTGTGTGAAATTTGAGTGTGTCGTGCATTTCCGTGTATCATTTGGAGGAGGAAGAAATACAAGTGTAGCATTTTCTTGGTGATTTTCATCTAGTTTTACTTTTTCAACTATTGTTTTAAATTTCTCCAATGAATAACATGTTTATTGTGCTGTCCCTAAGCATGAATAGCAAGTAGATTCTCTTTTCTTCCTTGAATTAGTAATGTAGGAATTCTAAGTTTAACTTTTCTGACGTGATCAAATCGAAGTTTAATAATGGTGATCAATTAACCTTCTATTCTTCATTGACTTGCAATTTTGCCAATTGTTTAGTTTAAATGTGCTGTGATCTAGTTGTGCGGGAGCAGGCAAATGGAATAAATTTGGATATTGATTTTAGATTAGTGCAATCTTGAAGGGAAATAATGGATCCTTAGATAATAATTTGATTTAGGGAACTAAACATGTTTAATTACCAAACTTTCTTAGATGCCTAGGAGGGGATAAGGAGAACTATACATGATTGTAACCCACAATTTGAATCACATGGTTGAACTTCGATTCTTAAAGAATCAATTCAGGGGAGAAAATTTTCCATTTTCACTTCTTTTACTTGTGCTTTATTTTTCACAAAATTAGGTTTACAAATTTTAAAATCACCAAATTTTGAACCTTCAGGCTAGATTCAAAATCCTACTATAACTTTTCCAAGCTTTGGTAGTTCACTCATTCCTTGTGGGATTGAGCCACGGACTAGTTTTGTATATTACTTGGACGACACGTATACTTGCGTGTATCATCGGTGCTTTGCAGCACTTTGTCCGTATCACTTGCCTTGTGAAAAATTCTCTATTTTGTAATTATTTAATTGCTGATTGTTTGTGCTAATGCCCTTAATTTTTTTTCAAAATGCGGAAGAGAATGCATTATTTATGCCCTTCAATTTAGTTTTCAGGTAGCATAGATGCCGTTCTTATTTGTTATTTGAATAAAGTGTCAAAATAGTTCATTTACTACTTACATGGAGCCATTTTACTCTCGAAGTTTATAAAATGCTAAATTAGGGCCCAAACGTTTTAAATTGGGGTTGAAATAGTTCTCCAAGAGGACTATTTCTGCCTATATTAAAAGTGTGGGGATTAAATTGACACTTCTACAAACTCCGGGACTAAAATGATACCTTTTAAAGAGTCAGAGAACTATTTTGACTTTTTCTCTTTTTTGTTTAAACTACTTGTGTAATAACTCTTTTAGTCTTGTTTTCTTTTATTAACTGGACCTTAAGCTGAATATAACTCTCTGCATCGAACTGTAGATATGTTGTTAGAGCAAAGGCGGGCAAGAAGCAATCTACTAAAGATGCAACAGGAAAATCTGCACATTCTGCAGGTTCATCTCTACGCCGTCATAATGAAGCGGCACTGAAAAAGGTAATGGGCTATTTTACACTTTTTTGTTCAGTTTTTTTAAGTGTTAGGGTATTTTGTACCCGGTTAAGAAAACTTATGGTACGTGCAATTTAAGTATATTACATATTTGGACGCGGCTTTGGGTTTTAGTGTCTTTTATAAGACTTTAATTGGCTAGGTTCTCTCATATTTTCGTCTGTTAGTGTCAAGTTCCATATATGTGTTTGATAATTTGCTAGATGTAGTAACTGATGACATAAATTCGTCTTTATTAAATACCGTATTGCCACTAATGTTATACTTTTTTTATTTTTGTAGTACAAACCCTGATATCAATGTTGATGCAAATTTGGGGAGTATTGTCAAAGCACCCTCATATTTGGTAGATCTACTAAGCCAACAATATATCTTTTGGTCTGTGGGTGGATTACTTCACAACATGGGGAGTGGGGTTGGTGGATGGCAACAATTTGGAAGAACCGATGGATTTTTTTTTGTGAAGATAACGGGTTAATATGGAAAGAATATGAATAGGAAGATAACCAAGTATCAAAGAAAATTTAGGAACTACCTATATTATAGCTTCTGGAGAATACCTCAAGCAAGTTCCTGTTGAGCCACATTTGAGTATTAGGTTTAGTCACATATGTGATGGTTAAAAAATATGTTTGTGTATGAATACTAGGTGGCTATGTATCTAACTTGAATTTGGTTCTGCACTCCCTAGCTAGTACTCGATCCTTCAACCGGGATCAAATAATTCATGCACTTTGTGGATCTCTTGGTTTTTAGTTTCTTCAATTATCATAGAGCAAGGTTCAAGGGCAGTTCAAATTGAGGGAAAGAAATTTCCTATGAAGAGAGCTCTCATGTAAATTAGAGATTGTGATGCAAATCTTTTTGTTTATTCTTGTTAAATGTGTCATATCAAGCTAGGATTTGTGCACAATTTAGTTATTTTTTTACTAGCTTGTTGATTTATTTGTTATTGATGTAATAAAAAACATGGTGGTAATGATGGCCAAGAGAATGTTGTACTTTATATTTTATTTTTGGGCTACTTTTATGAGTTGTCATGGTTAATCTTTGTTCAATTTAGATTAATTTCCCCAAATATGTATGAGATTTGGAACTTTGGAGAAGCAATTTTCTTATGGCTACAATGTTGGTTTGCGGGACTGTAGCATTGATTTCCTTCGACTCTTTGGTGTTGGGTGGTGGAAACTTGGTCTTTTCCTTATAAAAAGACTATAAAAAATCCTTGATTAATGCTATTTTTCTTGATTTGATAACTAATAGGAGCATACTTTTCTTTTGTAGGAATATATTGGTCGACAGACCCAAGAATTTAATAATTTAGGTTCCACTATACAAGGACTTAAGTTGTGCCTATTATGCTAGTGGTCGAACACCTTCAGCCAAATAGCTTGTGCCACTTGGGAGGGCCACACCTATTATATTAAGCACTTAATTTTTTTTTTCAAAATTTGAGGTAACACTATCCTCTAATCTCTTATGGGGTGAGTGTTCAATCTTTCTCGCATATGGAGTCCACATTAAGCATCATTCCTTCTCAAAGATAAAGCTTTTAACATTATCAATTTTCATGCTTTAAGATCTCTCAACTATATGTAGATAGTGTGGACCACAAATCACACAAAATACTTAATTCTAATTAAAATATTTGCTCTGATACACTTAATTAGATGGTTAACATTAGGGCCTAAGTTAGCCCATTATACAGTCGACGGATGCCCATTAAATCGAAAGCATAAGCTAATTGGTGATAGTCAATGTTAGCATATTAAAAATTCAACTCTATTTTCTTTGCTAATGAGAGACTAATCCTTACTCTTATTTGGAACTTGGGACTTCATAATGAATGGAAGAGACCAAGAGATTGTGCTGTAATATGTAATATTATTGTTGTTCTTTGACTATATTGTAAGATATATTGCATGAAACATGCTTTAAGTTTAGTAAGGAAAGTCAAGATGGATTCCCGACCTCCATGGTTCCATACCTGATTTTCTTTTGTACGGTACAATTGATGGAACAATTCATACCTTCGTGCAGGATTTTGTGTTAGATTTAACTGATTTTAGTTGAATATTTGATATTCTGCTAGGAGTAATTGGTCTGGACATAGACTGACTGTCTACATGAATACTTGAACGAAAACAAGGAGTTAATGCAACTAAATTAGGCTTCTAGTACTTATGCATGTCAAGCTCTACAGGAGGGAAAAAAAATTGCATACATAAGACGTACGCAGCGCTGCGTGCGATACCCAAATAGAGGAAGACACATAAGCTTCGCCAACCCCACCTTAAAACAAATAGACTTTTTACCGCGCGTAACCCGTCGACCCGACCCGCCATTGTAACCTCCATGTAATCCCGCTGTAATCTCCGCTGTCACCCCCCTGTAAAGCGATTGTAGGCCCTATGTAACCCCGGTGTAATCTCCGCTGTCACCATATACATATATATTATTAAATCAATTTAAAAAACCTTATTATAACATACCCATGCACACACCAGGAAAAAAATTGCGTACATAAGACGTACGCAGCGCTGCGTGCAATACCAATTAGAGAAAGACACATCAGCTTCACCAGCCCCACCTTAAAACAAATAGAATTTTTACCGCGTGTGACCCGTTGACCCGACCGCCATTTTAACCTCTATGTAACCCCGTTGTAATCTCCGCTGTCACCCCCCTGTAAAGTGCTTGTAAACCCTATGTAACCCCAGTGTAATCTCCGCTGTCACCCCCCTGTAACGCGCGTGTACACTGGATGTAATACCGATGTAACCTCCGCGCTCACCCCCTGTAACGCGGTTGTATACTAAATGTAACCCTGGTGTAACCTCCGCAGTCACGGCCCTAAACTGCACGTGTACGTGGGATGTAACCCCGGTGTAAGTTCTGCGGTAACACCCCTGTAACGCGCGTGTACTCTTGTTGTAAAACCGGTGTAACCTCCGCGGAGTCACGGCCCTAAACTGCACGTGTACGTGGGATGTAACCCCGGTGTAAGTTCTGCGGTAACGCCCCTGTAACGCGCATGTACTCTTGTTGTAAAACCGGTGTAACCTCCGCGGTCACTCCCCTGGATCTCCCCAGGATGTACAGTGGATGTACATTATATGTAACCCCGGTGTAACCTGGAGACTGTACCGCGCGTGTAACCGAAATGTAATGTCCGTGTGAATGTAATGTCTGTATAACGTCGTCTCCGCGGAATCGCCATTGTACCCTTCGTGTAACTTCAATGTAAAATGTAATGTCCGTGTAATGCCGTCTTCGGAGAATCGCCATTGTACCCTTCGTGTAACTTCAATGTAACAGCGAGTCACGCGCATGTAACCCGATGAAACTGCGCATGTAACGTTGGTACAACTGCGATGTAACCCTCACGTAACTCCTTATAACCTATTTACTCTGGTAAAAATTAAAAAAATCACACAGTAAGAAATCATATTTGAAAAAAGGGATTTGCGTCGCTAGGGTTCCTTCATCGTGTTCGTTTTCAAGGTTAGGGTTTTTGCTATTGTGAGGGAAGAATATAATGGAGGATAAGGAGGAGACTACGAAGACCTTGGAAGAGACCAATGGTGCGGATTTGGGTGAGGGTAACCAGTCGGAATGCGAGCAGGCAACCGTTACGGTGAAGGGCGGCCGTAAGCAGTCCAAGAAGGAGGACAATCATCCCTTTTCTAGTTATTAATTAGATTATTGTGGCTGTTTTCATTTAAATGGTGATATCATGTCCTTGGTTATAAAGCACAACAATGATATCGCGTCCAAGGTTATATACCACTTTTAATATAATAAAAGTTATTCTATGTTTTGATTATTGTGGCTGTTTTCATTTATTTATCGAAGCTTGCTTAATGGTGTTAAATGAATTTTAAATGAAGCCCTAATGTCGCCAAACAAATATATAGATGATACTAAACTATTCTCCTGTATTGTTGTAGGTTTTTGAACACAAAAACAATGAATTGCAGATGTCATCCATCTGCAGTACGAGAGGTTCTCGATAAGGTCCGACCAAAAGTCGATGAAGACACGTGGAATAAATTGGAAGCCATGAGTTTGGCTCAATTTTTTGAACTCTCTATGTACCCTCAGGACAATATTCTGACGATGCACATAATAAATTGTTGGGACGTTGATCGAATGACATTTAATTTGGGAGGGAAAGATATCAAATTTATTTCTGATGAAGTTGCATTACTGCTAGACATGCCCAATAGAGGGTTTCCTGCATGCTGGACCAATGCTCCGTCTGATATAATGGATACAAGACAATTAAAGATTGCCCTACTCAACTTTTCACCAGGGGAGTCATCTCACATCCTTTTGCAATTAATAATCAAGTTTTTAATTTCAAATTTGTTTTTTCCTTCAAGTAACTTTAGAGTTTGGAAAGAATTGTCTTCTGTTTGCGAGAATGTAGGTACTTTTGCAGCGTACAATTGACTAGCAACATTATGTGGATTTATGCAGATGCAACTTAATGTTTGTGTCATTAAAATTAAAAAGGATCAGCCACAGAGTTACATCAATGGTTTTATATTTTTTCTATAGGTTTGTGATCTCTTAATAAATTTTGAAAGTTCTTTTAATCAATTTTAAAATAATTCATCATGTTTAACGCATATCTGGTTTTATGAGCACATATCTGGTTTTATGAGCACACTTATGAGCACACTTCCTTGGTCCTCCCAGCATTGCCTCAGGCTAGACCAAGAATGTTGAGGTGGTGAAATGTGAGGTGGAATATTGTGAAGATTCAACTAGCCTTTGAGAGGGTTAGATCTGCCGATGTCAGCAATTTAGTTCTTTATTTCATAGAATTTGTTATGTTCACGTAGTACTTTCATTGATTTTGATTCTATGTAATGTCTTGCAGTTTTTTGATTATTTTCTTGAAATTAAAGATGGCGAGCATCATCTACTTGACTTTCCATTTCAAGAACCAACAAGTCCTGAGCAACATCTCCCACAAAGGGACGTTCTATCCTAACCACAGTCGCTCGCATTCATTGATACTGTTGATGTTATAGTTCCTTATCATACCAGTCCTCCACCACATGATGATAAGTATCGACATGCTAACTCTAGCATTAGATTTGAAGAAATCCGTGAATTACTCAAAGATCATCATAAACTGTTCTTGAAATTTCAAATCTCAGTTCATAATGGTTTTACAAAGTTGTAAAATACATTGACATATTTAAAATCTGAAGTTAAAAAAAATAAATAAAGCACTAAAACAACTTGTTGGGACATTACCCACTAAATGAGTGAAAGAGTCCCCGCTAGGGAGCCTAATTCATAGAATTAAGGCAAGACAAGACAGAAGAAAAAAAACTCTCAGTTCTCCATTTATGGTATTTGAACGGAAGAAGAGACAAAAAACAACTCAGGAAGCGGCTGAAGAGCCTGAAGAGGTTGAAGCCTTGCACCTAAGCATTATCCTTAAAAGT